ATGGGAAAAGTACATGATTGAATCGAAACGGGCTCGAGGGCTGCAGAAGGGTTAATGCTTCCCCTACAATGGGGAGAAGTATTATCGTTGATGTAGTAGGATAATGGATTTAGGGGCGTGTAGCTTGTAATTGATAGAGTTAAGATAGTCTAGCGGTCGTAGTCAAAGGATTAACATTGTTTACTAGGTTGTAGGATTATTCGTATTTTGAATTCCACTGTTTCCAAAGTTAATTGATCATTCAAAACTGAGAACAACCACTTATCTATGGCCATTCAAGTAGATTATTTTTGAAGGTATCTGAATTAAAAGTGACACATTTAATAAACTACACTTTGCACCTAATATAAATAATTAAATAGCTACGAGAAATTGTAGAATTTTGGAATATGATCTAATTGATTTTGAACAAATCATACGTAAATTACACATGATGTAAAATACGGAATAAAATTTCAAAGAATTATTTAAAAAAAATTAAATAAGACGAAATGTATATTACTATATTAGGGATATATTACATTTTTTTTTTAATTGGTTAACACTTTCATATAAAATTTCAAATTATTAGTTTTAAAAAATTAAATGAGACGAAATGCATATTATTTGAGATATATTATATTTTTGTATAAAATTGGTTAAAATTGTTGGCGGATATCGCAAGTGTTAATGGTCTTCGAGAAAATCGACTGATATCTTAGCGTTTTAACGATTAGGACGTTTCACGGTATTAGATGCTTTCCACGGATTAAATGATCAGGCGGTTTTTTCTTAATCCTTTGCGGTCGAAGGCTGTGGTATACTTAGCATAATTTTACCGTTTCGGTCGCGCGTCGGGAAATGATCGACTCGTTTGCCGTCAGCGGTTTTGCTTGACGCAGGTGTACATGCGTGGTATTCGAGTTGCGTTGTATGCATTGTGACATTAAAAAGTGTCTCTTATCGTCTCTTTTCATACCAGAAGTCAACATTATCGAATTAAAAGAATATCTCGAGATAAATGCGTGGCGTATTAAAAAAATTAAATAGTACGAATCTGTGGAAAGAAAAATTAATAAACGTAAGGTTATTTGCAACATTTCACCTTATTCGAATTAATGCTCCGTAGGTAACTTGGTTCATTAATGACCCAAGCGAAATTTCATTTTTGTATTTCTTTATTTTTTATTGAGAACACTGACTTAACGAACAATTGTATAATGTAGTAGACTGTGTTAAGTATCCCGGAATTTTTTCACATTTTCTTGAAGTCTAGAATAGTAAAAAAATTAGATTTAAGTACAAACTGGCCCAATTTATCTACCGAGTGTAAAAAAATACATTTACCTACGGAGGGTTACTAGTGAAAGTTAGAAATACAATTAAAAATTGTCGTGAAATGTAACTTAAAGTTGGAAATATTTTAGAACTTTAAATTAATCGTAAGTAAAATCAGTCGAATGGTAAATTCAGCGAAATAAAATAATATACAAAATGGTTATCTACTAATAGTGCGTTAAATGTAAAAGATCGAGACAATACGTCTAACCCTCAGACTTATAAATTAAAACTGAAGTTCGAAATGAAACAAAAGTTTATTATAGACAGAACTCACTTTTGTACTATTTTAACCATAACCTACGCCACGAGTATGCTTCGTTATTACAAGCCAAGGGGTTAATTTGCAATTATTCCAGTAAATTTATATTATTAGACGCAAAAATGAATTCTTTCCGACTTTTAGGTACCTACGATAAAAGTTTTACGTAAAAAATAACAAAACAGATCACTCGTCGACATAATTTCCATTATCAGCGACGACCTTCCGCCATTTTTCTTACAGCCTCCGAATACCATCGCGATAGAAACTTGCTTCGAATTAATCACATAAATGCAGTCGGGACGAATTCATTTCTACACCAGATACATTTCCAAAAATAAGAAGAACCAATCTCTGTTTATTTCTGCTCTTCAAAATCTCCACACGATCCTCCCACCTCGCCGTCAGCTGATTACCCCTTTGTAGATTGCTTTTAACGCGACACACGATATCCTCGCGCCGAAACTCGTTACTTCTAAAAGACCGCCTCCT